TCTGCAGAATATTAATTCTGAAGAGAGTGAAATCGATGCTCAAAGTTTTGGAAATGATTTTTCCATTTATTTAAAAAACAACTCTTTAATGATGATGATACAAAGATAAGGTAAAATAAATTGTTGCACACTATTGTAGAAAAAATTCCAAAACAAGAAAAATTGTATTCAAGAAATGAAAAAATACTTTGAAAATTGACTTTCTTAAAAAAATTTCCTATCTTAATATAAAAAAATATATACTTCGTATATATGATCAATTATATTTTATATCTACACTATTTACCCTAAATTTTTGTTAAAATTAAAAATCTTTGGTCTATATACGTATAAATCTCCTTGCAAAATAATATCTAAAGTCTCTCCTTTCTCCAATCTAATCCAGATTCCTCCTTCAGGAATCGGTACAAGATTATTTCTCTGAAAGACAATAATCTCTTCTCGTTGTGTCTTCTCGAAAATCGACTCAAAAGATGAATTCTCATCAAAATCTTAATTTCTAACAATACGTGTAAGAGACGATGTTACCCTCGTTCTTTTCGCTGAATCGTTCGAAGATCGAAGTTCATCGGCTCGAGAAAATATTCAGGATCCAACGTAAGGGAGAAAAACGATATCGCCGAGATATAAAGTTGCACCATCGTATCCAGCCCCTGTCGGCGGTAACGCGAATTTTCGTGTGAAAACTTGATCGACGAAAATCAAACCGGGGTACTTTCTAAGGATTTCCAACATCATCATATACTCCATTCTCGAAGGAGGATTCGTTGAAGAAATTTCTCTTCGTCCAAACACCGATCCATCTCTTCCTGTAACCTTTCCTGAACATCCAAATGCAGCCTCGTATAAAACAAAGCGCACGAAATTAGAAGGCGAATCTGAGCCACCCTTGTGTAGAAACCAATCTCTTGAGAAACGATATCGTCGATAGTTATTTTATCTAATGGTAGACTTCTCTTTATTTCTAGCAATAAATGCAGTATATTTTTTAGATTCTCCGATACAATACGATGAAAAAAATCGACGATGTCGACCAGGAATCGCTCTGATTCCTAATAATCTGATTAATCGTGGACAGAATCGCATCAAAGGAAATTTAATCACAATGTTCGCAAGATTGGCGAAAATATTTCTTTCTCTCGTGAAGAACTGTCGTCTTCCATCGAATTTATACCAACATCCAAAAGGCGATAGACACGATCACGTCAATGCTGAACCCGAAGAAAGCGTCTTTCGTGTCCATCGAGGAGGATGGTCCTGCAAATAATCCACAAACTATCGCGAGCATTTCGATACCAATTCGAACATCGAGTCTCATTTTACTGAAAGGAGAAGAGAGTATGTTCCTCGTCTCTTTCCACTTTTCTCAGAAAAAATATGTTCCTCGTTGAAGATCGATCTATGATGAAACGATCGAAGCTATCTCCGGTGATTAATTCCGGATCGTCAGATTCGTCAGAAAGTGAAATCCATCGTTTCAACGTATCTCACGTTTGGACCGATAATTATAATTATAGATCAACCAAGTGGATTTTTTCAGGATGAAGAATTCCCAAAACGGGTCAAGTATCGGAACGAATCCGTTGCGAGGCACGTTATTATTGTTCCAATACGTCTCTTGCCTGTATATTGCCGCTGCAAAGAACTTCGATAAGATCACGGTGATCAAAGCGATCACCGTTAAAGTAAACACTGACGAGGTCGATAGAATCTCCATTGCACTCTCAACCGCAAATGACTATCGTGCGTGAGCTACAAGGTTATAAATATGAGGCGAGCAATGCGTGCAGAGTTTATCGTCGCGGTAGAGGGAATGGTGTCATTATCACCATTGCTCCTCTTCTCTCGTGATATGCTGTTGGGTATGCACGAGTAATTTTAAGAAACTCGATCGAAAAATGGGACAAGCGTACGATGAACTTTTTCCACGAACGATTTTTTTTTCTCTTCTTTTCTTTTCTTTTTTTTTTTGGAGGGGGAGGGGGAGGCCGAACATCGATTCGTTTTATTCGTTTTATTAACGCGTGTCCTGAATATCTCGGTTTCGATGTTTCTATAAGGATTCCGAGTGAAAGTGCATCGTGATGCAATTATCAATTTGCATGGTAATTTTATAATTTTAATTTCATAATGTCAATTTTTTTTTAATTAAAAGGGAAAATTATTACTGATCAACGGTAGGTAGAGGAATATATAACTTATTTGTAACAGGAAATAATTTGATGAAGAAGAACAAAATTTATCGATTAAAGATTACGATGATTTAAAAATTATTATCATTGCAATTATTTATTTATAGTAGAATTGCAGTAGAATTTTATGACGTGATAAAATTTCTAAAAGATAACGTACAATATATCTTTTAGATCGATTAGTTGGTTTAAGATTTAATAACATTTTGAAAATGAATCTTCTGCCTTTAATTTATACATATTTATTAACGTATAATATTAACAATGCATATGATTAAATATATAATTAATTCATTTTATTTTTCATCGAGATATTATATGCGTAATTTGTATACAATCTCCCCCCGACCCTCTCCCCGATTTTTCAAAAAATTGAAACTAAAATTAGATTAAATTTTTATCAGAAAAATACAATCTGTCTTTATCGAATCCCTCGCCAGCGAGCGTGGACTCCAACGTTATAATAATAACGATAATAAGAGAAGGTAAGTTTAATCATTATTTCTCTTTTGAAAAGTGATCCAAAACCCGTGTTTCGGATTCAACGTGAAATCAGCCTTCTTGTACACGATAGGATATTTCGTTCTTTCGCTAGGTTTTATCACGAACTTTCGCAACAGCCGAATGATCAAAAGTTTGGTCTCCATCAACGCGAAACGATTTCCAATGCACTTTCTGGGACCGATCCCGAAAGGTATGTACGCGTAAGGATCGATGCCGTTCTTATTCTCGCGATTGAACCGTTCAGGATCGAACTTGTCCGGATCGGGAAAATACGTGGGATCGTGATGAATGGCGAAAACGGGGAACCAAATATTTTCACCGGGATATATCGTAACACCTTCGTAACCTGGCGCAGCTGGTGGCAAACGGAACTCCTTGGCGCATTGTCTGTCGATCAACAAACTCGGAGGATGCATTCTGAGAGTCTCGGATATCACCATTTCCATGTATTCCATTCCCAACGTATCCTCGTAAGAGATTTCCATCCGTTCGTCCAACAGGCGATCCACCTCCTCGCGCAGCCTCTGTTGAACGTCCTGGTGCATGGCCAACTCGTAGACCACGTAACACATCAAGGTGGAAGTTGTGTCGAAACCGGCGAGGAAAAAGATGAACGCCTGCGCAACGATATCGTCGATGGTCATCTCGTAGATGGATTTCTTCGAATCGGTGGCCTGCATCAGCAGGTGTATCATGTCCGGCCTAACGATGCCGCGTTTCTTTCTCGCGGTCACCGTTTCCGAGATCACTGTTCGAAAAAATTTGGACGTAGCGCGGGACAGGAACGTGAAACCTGCCATCCTCGTCAGACGGGGGTTCAAACGGAACAGCATGAATTTGATGAAACGAAACGTACCGGAGAACGTGGACACATCGATACCCCTCTTGTAGAACTCGTTGTCCGGATCTTCGATCGAGTTCACGCTTATGCCGAAGGCGACCGTTGCGATCACGTCGTTCGAGTATCTGGTGAACAGATCCTTCACCTCGACCTCGGACGTGAATTCGAAACGATGGTGCAAACACGTGACAAAATCGCGGGAACACTTGGACACAAGATCGAACATGAATCTCATCTTGTTGGCCGTGAACGAAGGGCTGAGCGTGTTCCTCATTTCCCTCCATCTGTCTCCTTTCAAGGAGAACACGTTTTTCCCGAACACCGGATCCATCTCCTCGGTGACGAAGCTTCTATGATCGGGGAAATTGTCGAAATTCTTCACGGCTATCTCTTTGATCAGTTTTGGATCACGAACGATCACGGTTGGCGTGGCGAAATCCATCACTCCGATGTATCTCGCGTCCGGGTGGTAATTATAAATGTATTTACAGTAATTGGGGAAACTAACGATACGAAAGAACACTTTCCAAGCGGTTCCGAATAAAGGACTTGACTGTACGTAAGGAACTTTGTTCCTCTTCCAATAGGTGAACTGTGTGTACACTATTGAAATAAGCTTGGCGAAGATGATTAAGATCAAAGCAGTAAAGAGTAACTCGAAAGTGGTCAAATGTGACACTTCCATTGTTAACGTGAAGACACGCGTTAGAAACGACTGTTCAACCATTAAAGAATGTCGTAAATGGTAACAAATTCTCCTATATAATGGAAATGGTCAAGGAGGGAGAGCAAAAATTTTGCAGGAGAACTATACCGGATAAGAGAGTGATGACCTCAGATTTTCAGATAACGTGCTTTATAAGATTTCCTTTTACAGATAAATGATTTTTAGAAACAATATCAGCTTGAATTTTATAAAGGCTACAGATACGGAAATCAATTAATTCTGTCATGTGGAATTATCAGATATAGAGGGCATTTGCCTCTTTTCATTTATCATAGATCGAATCGACGATTGATCGTTGAAAGAAAAATAATACGTAACTTTAAACAAAGTTTCTTTAATTTGTAACTAATTATTTTGTATGTATTCGATTCTTAAATAAATTATAAACGATTCAATGATTCAGATATAAATCGAATATAATGCGATTCAATATTTTTTTTATAATTGTATACATACATCTTATATAAAAATTATAAAAAAAATATTATATTTATATTATTAGATGAATTATAATAATTTTGTTACAAATAAATATTCAAAATTCTGAAATATTCAAATTCAAAATTTTGTAACGTGAAAACTTGAATATAAGTAAAATTTATATATAAATTTTTATAAATCTATCAAAATTTGTATATATATAATCATTTATAATCATAAAAAAACGACATTACATTACAGAAACAAAAACAATCAATAATTTTTATGTAGTGTGATTATAAATACAATCACTTACCAATGAAGACAAAAATCTGGTGGTGTGAGTACCGTAGTAACATCGAAATGGAGATAGTCTGAAATAATTAAATACATATTATATAGAAAATATAAAAAATTGATTAAATAAAAAATTATATGATTATATTTTTCAATGTCAAACATATATTTATATATCTGAATATTTAGAATATTTTTATCTAAATATATAATAATTTAATAGAAAAGAAGAAGAAAAAGAATATTACATAATTAAATTTTCTTTAATTTCTACATTTTAAATGTTTACATAAATATATTTTCTCTTCGAAATGGTAAGAATAATAATAATATATTATCAATTAATTATAATAATAATAATTATGATTATATAAAATTTTAATAAATTTTTTTCTTTTTTTTATGTGAAATATCGATTAATATGTATCAAAGCGATAATATTTATTATTTCGTAAAAGAAAATTGCAATGAAGATAGGATACGAAGCGAATTGCAAATCGACAGTCGCACTCGGTTACCAGGTTGAGAACGAATAGTGCAATTGAATTGCGAATGGTTCAGATTGAACTAGCACCTGACACCCCCGAGATAATTCACTATTTACTATGAGCAACCTTGATAACAGAAACGTTTAATCGTACTTTGCAGATGCGTCAACAATGATATTTATGAGAAATACGATTAAAAAAAAAGTAAGAGAAAGAGAATCTCGAGTTTCTGAAAAAAATTTAATTTCACGTAAAATCGTTTTATAAATTTAATATATTTTAATCATCTTTTATTTTAAAAATGAAAACAAATTTATTATTATTTAAATTATTAAATTTAATTATTTAAAATTATTAATATCATATTATACATTTCTTTTTAATATTTTAATATTTCTCGAAATATAATATTTCTATCACTTTTAGAATTGTATCACTAATTTTGATACAAATTATATAAATAGAACGCAAAAAGACAGTTCAGCATTGAAAAAAATAACTATTTTTGATGTGTATAAATTTTTCTTATTTTAATAAATTTCTTAATAAAAATGATTCGTAATTTCATTAAATTTTATCTTTAAAATTTTAAAGTAAATCAAATTGTTAAAATAATCTAATATTAATTAATATGATATAAATAATATAATGATATCAAAAAATTTTTAATTTTTAAATAAATATACATACATGTATGCATTTTTATAGGACATCTTGTGTGCATCATATTGAGATGAATATCAGTTTATAAATATTATTTAAGAAACAATTCATTATAAATTCACTATATATTTTATTCACAACACTGTTGGTTTAAGCAAAATAAAGCTTGAAATATATATTTATAAATAACAATTAACTGAATTTCTTAACACAAAATAACGTTAATTTTAAAATGGCAGTTATATGTCAGTACTAAAGTATATGACTACCAAAGTCAAAAGTCAAATCTATATCATTATACTTATTATAGTAAAAATATCTGATTAAACACTTTTGTTTAATATTAAAATTTTTGATATTAAATAAAATATTTGATTCGTTAGCTAAATTGTTGATCATGCATTTTAACATACATAACATTTTCATATATACTCTTTATTAGATTCTCAATTGTATAGTACAGTACAATAGTATATTTAGTTCTTACATTTTTGTATTAATTATATTATTAAAATTTATTCAATTTAGTTCTAAATTATTCGAATTATATTTATTTTTATGAAAATAAAAATAAATTTAATTATTTCCAAATATTCTAATCTTTTTTTCAATATATTATATTTTTATCAAATTGTTTTTAAAAAAATAACCTTATTATTGACATCGGAAACAAAAAAAATTTTGATGAATATAATAAGGAACAAATAATTTTCTATTAAAACAAGAAAAAAAATGCACGATCAAATAATGGAAAACAAAAAAAGAAAATAATATTTTCAAGTAAATCGTATTGTAGTATAAGATATCTATAGAATGTCATGTGCATATGACAGAGGAAATATGAGATAATATATAGACGTGCGACAGTTCTGTACACGTGACTGTATTGTGGCTTGACCAAAGGTAATTCCAAATAGTATCCCAAGCACTGAAGTAACATTCACGTGTTATGGCACGAGTTTCATTTCTCATTTCAAATATTTTTAATGTTTCATATAAATTTTATTAAAAAATAATGATATCAATATTTCGTTCAACACATAAAAAATTAATAATTTAATTAACAATTTAATTAAATTGTAAAGATTATACAGAAAAAAAAATGAATCATAATCATAAAATATTATAATTGTAATTTTAACAACATTAGATTAATCACAATCACCTAATGCCTCCTTTTAAAAATCTATATAAATTTAAAATCATTACAAAGTAATATTTATTCAGTGACAATACTAAGATTAATTATGAAATAAGAAAAAGCAATTAAAAAAATAAAGAAAAAAAATTAAATACAATGTCCAATTATATACATATATATAGTGTCTGTATAATATTCATTCATATAAATATAAAAATTACTTTAATGAATAAAAAATAATATTTTTCCGTTTTATATTTGAACTTTTCTCCTACTAAAATTATTCATGCATAGAATAATTGGCTTTTCACTATATCTAGATATGAACTAGATGTAGACTCCCGCACAATGCATTGCATTTGAATCGCGGTTAGTAGTATGCAATATTACTCATTTGTTCGCTCGGCGTAAACCCATTAAACACGAGTGGAACTATTCGTTGGTCCGTATATGATCCAATCACTTCCTAACACCCGGGGAATACCCCGAAATTTCACAATCCATCAGACATGCGTACTGTTTATATTGAAATGCAGCTACCAATGAAATATTGACGCAAATCATTTATTCAATTACAAAGTATAAGTTATCTATTAACGAAAACTATTTTTAAATAGCATTTAAAAAAAATTGATTATAAATTTTATTATCATTTCAAATTTATAATTTAAATTTCAAAATTAATATTTTTAACATTTATCGATTAAACAGTTATTTATAATAGTAATAATCATACTGATTTAAACCCAAAATTTTTAATAATTATTATCTCTTACTAGGTGTAATAAAACATGCATTTGAGAATAATTTGATACAAAATGACCAACTTGGGATTTCTGTAACGAATATGAGACATCTAATAAAGTTGATTTATATCCAACTATTCAATTCCAAAGGGATCACAAAATGTGAAGGTACAAGAGATTGGAGAGTTATACGCGAGTTACCTCAGTGCATGGTTACTTTGAATTGATTGCCATATCCTTTTACATACTATATGAATACATGTGATAGCAATCCCTCAACAGAGAGAATATATATAGATTAAAAACATAATATATGAAACTAAATCTAATTTATATCATTCTAGAACTATAATTATATATATAATAAATAATATTATCATAATATGATATTATGATATACAATGCATAATGCATAATATAAGTAATATAATTTTTCATAATATAAATAATAAACAGAAAAATTTATTTTAAAAAAAATTATTAAATTTCGAAATTATTAAATATATCTTAACATATCTTAATATTTAAATAAATAAAAAATTAATAATTACTTTGTTTCATAAAACATTTAATATTTGATTCTATATAAAAAAAAAGAATTTTAATTTTAATCATTTATACTTCTAAAATATTATTGATAACTAAAATTCATATATAAATTGTATTAAACTATTATTAAAGTATATACTTACAAAAACTAACATGATAAAAAATGCAGCAAGATATGTAGTTCTAGCCATCCACATGTTTACAAATCGATAATGTTCTCCTGTTACCACGTTTCTATAAAATAAAATAAACTTATAATGTATAAGAGCAAATGATATGACAATATGGACAATAACAAAATAGATTTATTTACCGTAAAAAACCTTGATTATCTTCATGCTCTGCCAATGTTTTAATGCTTGCCATTAATAAATCATCATATCCTAAGAGTTCATCGAGTATTAATCTTGAAAAATCATCGCCAAAACATTTATCGTTAACAGGATCTAAAGTAACGATTTTTACAGGAATATTTAATCTTTGCCGTGCTACAGGCGATAATCTCAAGAAACCATATTCTAATGAATATTCTACAATATAACCATCACCTGAAAAAAATTATTTATTTAAAAGATAGAAGTTATTAAATGCTTATTATTGTTATTTTTAAATTCTTTAAAAGATACAATATAGCTTATACCTGCCCTAACTTCAGAATTTGAATCTTTTAAAGGTCGAATAACATCTTCTTTATTAGATTTATTATCCTGCCCTATAGTACTATTCTGTGTATTCATTAGGGGTAGCTTTTTATCTGATATCTGCAATTCAATGCAATGTAATAATATATTCAATATAAGTATTATGTAATATAATATAATCAATATTACATTTATATATAAATAAAAAATATGTATAATATATAAAAATAATATATGCAATAATAATAATATAAAATAATATTTTTTAATTATTTATATTTACTTCTTTACTGTCTACATTCATTTCATTCCAAAGTTTAGTAGGTAATGAAGGATTTGTTGTTGTATTAGTAATACTTAAATTTGGATCTTGTGTTTCACCAGAAACAGTGGCACTTTGAATAACTATTTCTTTTTCAGATAATGTTAAACTGTCATGATTTTCTTCGTTCAATGCATTAGTAGTATCACGTTCTTCATCAACAGCTGATGGTTCAATATTGATAAATCTAATAAAATAAATATATAGAAGTAATTAATCTTTAATGCTGAAAAAAAATATTAAAATTTATTATAAATTATTTTCCTTTACCCATCCCTAGTTAATATTCCTAAAGCACTAGTTAAATCATCAACTTTTTCTTGTCGTAACTTTTCCTCCTTTGCATAACTCTTTTCTATACTATAATCTTCTCCTCCATTTTTAAGTATCTCAACTCTTAATATACCATCACGTGGCCAATCATCTCTTATATGTTCTAAACAATTAGTTGGTGCTCGTGAAAATACTATATGAATATAAGCCAAAACAAAAAATGCTGCTATAGCCTAAAATATATAATATTAAATTAATTTATATATAATATTCCAGTTATTTTTAAAATATAATTACCTTCAATAAAACTATAAATTCTATAAATCTTCTGACAGGTCGTGGAAATGTTCTTGCATAAGTTAATGCAGCCTTAATAAATATTGCATGAAACAACCTATCCCTTACATTAACTAGTGGATTTTGGTTATTATTATTTCTAGCAGTATTCATATTGTTATTATTTAAGGCTGATCGAGTTGAACTACTTGTATTATGATTATTATGTACAGTTGCACTGTTCTGATTATTCGTTATTGGTATTGTAGCACCATCCACTTGTGGCATTTTAAATATTATATAATATTTGTGTATAAGATGATGTAACAGCTAATAGTTTCTACTCATACAACTTCCATGTATGAATTTTTTAAAAAATATTTATACATGTTGTATATATACATTTCCAAATCAAAATGAATGAAATATTCTATAAGATTTGAAGTAAATCCTGAAAGAGATTAGATTATCATATATTAAATTATATATTATATTATATATTCTTTATATATTTTTACATATTTTATCACTATATTTTTATCTTTTTTATATATCTTATAAATATAATAAATTTTAAATTAATATCTAAGCATAATTAGAATAAATAAAATATAATATTAAAAACTTGTTTTATTTCTATAGTTAAAACTGTATTAGAAAATTATAAGTTTACATTAGAAGCTTTTTTATTATTATTATATATTTCATAAATATAATTACTATTTTTATATTTATTATTATTATATTATATTTATTATAAAAAAAATAAAATACAATTTAAATTTGTATATTATAAATTTTGCATATTAAATTCATTATTAATAATTTCAACTACAATCAATGCAGAACATAACCTATAGCATTGCATGTATCCTAACCTATTTAATAATTACATTATATATTACACAAATAAGTAATAATATTTACAAATAATTAATATAATTTATATACAGAGTATATTTGTTTTCATTTATATCTTAAATTATAATTAAGCTTTTCTTAATTAAAAAAATAATAAACGTATCAATTATATATTTTGTTATGTAATTAAACTCAAAAAAATAGCAATTATATATTGCAAGTAAATTTAAATAACATTATTAAATATATTTTTTATGAATATATATTTTTTTAAATTAATTATTATTCACCGGACGTGACATTTCACAGCTGGTATACGAATTTGTAAGTTTTTGAGATACAAATCAACTATATCGTACCTTTTTTTAATGTTGAATGTCGTACTATAACGTTATATTTCTAATGTTTTATCGGTCCTCTGCGTGTCACTACAGATAATAATAGATTTATAAGAATACAGCTTGCAAGTATTAACAACTTGATTCTCGTGAAATTGTCACTTCATCATCATATGTTTTGATATTCGACAACTTGTATATAGTAGTCCTCAAATATTACAGTATAACCAACATAAATTTTTAAAAATCACTAGTTTTTGTTATCATCTAACTTATATTGGAACTTTGTTGATCAACCAGTAAAACAATTTAAACAGTAACATAAAATTTGTTGGTATTTTGAATTTAAATAAAATATTTAAATGATAAGAGTTATTTCGTGAAAGTATTGAATTTTCAGGATTATAATTATAATTTGAGAATTAATTCTGTAAAAAAGTATGAAATTAATATAATAACAATATTAAAAATATAATACATTATTCAATAATTTGATTAAGAAGCACATATTATAACATAAATATGAATTCTCCAAGATCACCACAAACTCCTCTTAGTTTTGAATTGAAGAAAATTATAAATGATAGAAATATTTTAAGTATGCGTAGTCGTATGAAAGGTGCATTATTAATTAATAATTTAATAAATTAAATTAAAATTTACAGATAATACATTATATAAATAATATACAATTATAATATTTTATTTTTTATCAATAATTATATAATATAAAATTTTCAGTTCTCAACAGTTTAAATGAAAATAATCAAAAACAGTTTGAAGAAAAAGAAAAAAATTTAAGATTCCAAGCTATTCAGGAAATTTTAACGACAGAAGTTACATATTTACGGCAATTAGAAATCTTAATGGAGGTATTTTTTATGGATATTTAATAATATATTTTTCAAAATTCAAAATGTGTAATTCAAATATTAAAAATGTGTAATATTTAAAAGTATTATAATATATTATTATAGTATATTATTATAATATATTATTATAGTATAAATAATAAAATGAAATAATAGTATGAATATATATACTTTTTTCAGTATTTTATACAACCTATGTTTGAAAAAAAATTATTAAATCATAATTTACTTTCAACATTGTCTGAAAATATAAAAACATTATATAATGTTAGTGGAGAATTAATACAAGAATTAAAGGAGGATCCACAAAATATTGCAGATGCATTTCACAAACTTGCTCCATTTTTTAAATTATATTCTATTTATGCTTATGATTATGAACAAATTTTATTATTATTACAGGTATATTATTACATTAATTTATTAATTAAAAATTAATTCTATGCAGATAAATTTTTTTTTAGAGTAAACAAGAAAATGACATTGAGTTTAAGAATTTTATTAGTAAACAAGAAACAAGACCAGAAGTTGGCAGAAAATTACCTTCATTATTAATTACACCAATACAAAGGGTACCTAGATATAAACTACTCTTAAAAGAAGTCTTGCAACATACATCTAATAAACATAAAGAATATAATCTTTTACAAGGTAAAAAAAGATTAAATTAAAATAATTGTAAAATACTTGTAATAAAATATTTTTTAATATTATATATAATAATATTATTCAATATCAATTAGAATAAATATCAATAGATATAATAAATTGATTGTTTTCATAGTATGTTTAGTAGAAGTTGAAAAAGCTGCAAGACATATAAATACCTTCATTGAACAATATGAAGAAACACAAAAATTATTAAAACTTCAAAAATGTATCATGAACCCAATTAATTTGGTAAAACCTGGTAGAAAATTGATTAAACAAGGATCATTAATGAGAGTTTCGAGACGTGGTAGTTCTGTATATAAAAGATATTTTGTTCTTTTGAATGATATTTTATTATATTGTAAAGGTGATCCAGAAAATTCTTTGACTGTGTGTTGTGTTTTACCATTAAATAAATGTAAAATTGAATCAGTTTTGAGTGGTGGATTATTTCGTGTTATTTGTTTAAATGAGACACTCCTATTATATTCTGAAAAAGATGATAGTAATTTATGGATAGAAGCAATACAAAGTTCCATAAAGAAGGTATTATTAAGAAATACTAATTTTTTTTATTTAAATATTTATTAAATTTAAAAACGAATTTGTATTTATCTTTTTTTTTTATTTTAGTATGCAGAATGTAGACAAACATTAAGAAAAGATAGCAGTTCAAGAAAACCATTAAGGCATAACAACCTTAATTTATTTCCATCTGAAAATATACCTATAATTGCTGGTAAAAGAAAAAGATCAAACAAAGAAACTGAGGTATATATAATTTTTTATCAATTAAAAAAATTTGTTATTTTTATTCTAATAAATTTTAAAATATATATTTATAGATTAATTTGGATGCTTCACAAATTATGTATTTGAAGAAGGACAATGAAGCAGATGCAGATATGCAATCAAATAATAGTTGTTTGGTACTCTTAAAAAAAATTTAAAAAATTTAAAAGTGATAGTGATTTTAAATATACCTCATCTTATAAAGAAAATATTAATCATGTAAGTTTCATGTTCTTAATTATAATTATTAATATTTTTATATTATAATAATAAAAAATATAAATTAAGTAATAATTAATGCGATTTACAGAAAATTACAGATAAAGATATACATTTTAAAAAACACAGTATATCATGTTTATCTTCTATTGATGTAAATTGTAAACAAGAATCATCAACTCTTAAATCTATTAGTGAATTCTTTATATCTATTGGTTCGTCCATAAAAGAATTCTTTAAGTTTAATTCTCTAAGATGATATGATGTTGATAATAAAATTGATAAAATTACGAGGTAATCATTTAAAATCCAGATATTTCTCCTTAATTTCCTAAATATAAATATAATTTAATTTATACAGAATATCTTATGTATTTAAGAAACTAAAGTTTTATTTTCAAACTATACACATATAAAATCTAAAATCATCATTCAAAATAATTTAATTTGCTAGATAGAATTTTATTCTATCTTCGTTTTATCTTCGTTGTTTTCTTGTTTTAAATCTATAATTTTGTATTACGTGTGATATTTTAAATAAAAATATATTTATATGTTTATATTTAAATTTACTATATATGAATATATATTTATATTTAAATTTCTCTAACATTAGCAAATATAAGAAAATAAATAAACTAGATATACAAAAATAAGTAAATTATCTTAAGTCATAATTTCATTATCAAACAAAACACAAATATAGATAAAATAATATTTGTTATTGCTAATTATTGTATAAAAATATATAATAATATTTTATTATTGACAGATATGTTACATTAAATTAGAATAAAAATCCCCAGATAGAACTAAATGAAGGCATAATATCGATACCTACAAATGATAAGAGAGTTGAATTTTTTTTATCATATAATTAATAAAATATCATTTCTGATTGAGGTAAGATAAAGTTTATGTGTGTAATATAAGATAAGAAAGATAATAAGAGTTTATAAAAACGACAAATAATGAATAATACAAAACAACTGTTATTCATTTTACTTTAAACTATTAAAAATAAAAAACAGTTACATTTTTGATATATTACATTTTATTTTATATTTATAATTATGATATATAAAAAATAAAATTTTTTTTAATTTTATTATTAATTATATTTAAAATTCAAATGAGTTTTAATTTAAATATAGGTTATGTTTATGTTATTCAATGAATTCCATACAATATATTAAATAAATTATTTCTTCAAAACCAGATATAATTTTATATATAGAACTTGAAAATAATTAAGGAATATATATTTAATAAAAATAAAATTTAAAGAAATTTATTTCTTGTTTTAACAAAAATATGTGTACATATTTATATATGCCATTATACATATATTATACATATAATAGCATTTAATACAAAAACATTGTGAATGTATAATATTTATATGTTAATATAATTATATAAAAATTATTATCTAAAAATATTAATTATATGCTTATAAATGATACAAGATACAACAATTATAAATTATCTATATAAAATGTACTATAAATGAAATAAAGTTTTATGTTTTTTTTAACATATGTTACATATAATAATATGTTAAAATATAAAAATTATTTCAAAGTAAAACATATATTCATATCATAAATATCTTTGAATTTTTTAGAAATTTATAAAATTATATATGAATATATGCATATAATAATTATAATACATATTTAATTAATATAATATCAGCAAAAACCCGTTTTTATTTATATATAAATTTAAATAGATAAAATTTAATTAAAATAATATTTATAATTTAAAAATTTATATTTTTTTTATTCTTTTATATGAAGTTATTGATTAAATAATATTATTGATTAAATAAAAATTTATTGATTAAACTTTTTTAATTTTATAGAATATAAAATATAATTAATTAAAATATATATATTATTTATTATAGCAAATCCATATATTATATCCAATTATAAACATGAATGGTATAATACCTGAAATGGAACAAATCATTAGTCAACTTGAAAGAGGGACTGTAGTAACAAAATTCTTTTCAAGAAAAAGACCAGAAAAAAAAACTCTTATGATAAGAAGAGAAACTAGACAAATTGTATGGTCAAGGAGTGCAACATTCAGACCTTTTGATGGTTCAGGTAAAAAAAATCTTCAATTCTCAGAAATTTTAAAAATAATTTATAGAATAACAATATTATTCTGTAATCTAAAGAAAACTTCACTAATTTACTAATTATGACACATTTATTAAATATTAATTAAAAGAATATAAAAGGATTAACAAACATGTATATTTATACATTCACAAAATACTTATTCTACAACAATTGAAATAAATTTTCACCTAACATTCTAGGCACACATTTTGCATGGTTATGAAGATATATCTACAGCAAAAATGGGCAAAATAATATCTGAGGATACTATTTATAGGTCAAAAACCTGAAGGAAAGGTCCTTGTGAATAATGTATATGGGTGAGTTTATAATAAAGGTACAATCTAAATCAGTTAATGACTTGCATCTTATAAGCTTTTATGTACATGTTTTATATCTCATGTTAAATTAAATTAATATTTTTTTCTGGCCTCGTTATTTTTAATTTGATAATATTCAATTATATAAATATATATGCATATCTTGGTGGACATTTCCTTCATTTTTGGTCTACAAACAAATGAGCCCATGGATACTGTTGATATATTGGATCAGCCCCATTGGATAGCATGGGTATTTGATTAAATCAAAAATTTTAATAATTGTGAATGCACTGATTGTATATATTATAACAAAACATGCATATGTAATATAATTAAAAAATATATATATTTTTTAAAAACTGCTTTTATCTCTATAAATGCATAATATTTAAAAACATATTCTTGCATGTTATATTAACATATTATATATTTTATATATAGTTATATAATACTATATGTAATTATATAAACTGTGTTCTATTTTTTTATTAAATACATACATAAATATATATTTTATATGTACTAAAAAATGTATTTATCTTTTGATTTTAGTTGAAATAAGAGAAATCAAAGAAATTAAGATAGGAAAACATTCTAAAGATTTTGAAAAATGGCCAGAAGATGCAAAAAGAATAGAAAATCTTAGATGTTTTGTTGTATATTATGGTTCTGAATTTCGTCTTAAAACTCTTTCAATTTCTGGTAAATATATTTTTATTATTTATTAAATATATTTAATTAATTAATTATAAATAATTATTAAATTATAAATAATTTTATTATTTAAAATATAATTTTATATATGTTTGTCTTTTTATATTTTCGTTTTAGCTCTTAGTGAAAAAGAATGTGAACTTTGGGTAAAAGGATTACGTCGCTTGGTTCAAGATACTATAAAAGCTCCTTATCCTTTACAAGTTGAAAGATGGCTAAGGAAAGAATTTTATACAATGGAAAATTCAAGAGAAACGTAAAAAATATTTTATTTATAATTTTGAATTTTATAAATAATTTTGAATTTATTTATAATATATAATATTGAAATATTTAATGATTTACACTTTACAGAGTTACTTTAAAAGATATAAAAGCATTTTTACCCAGAGTTAATTGTAAAATACCAACAAATAAACTCAGAGAACTTTTTCAAGAAATAGATACAAGGAATAGAAATGAACTTGGTTTTGATGATTTTGTTATACTTTATCATAAATTTATCTTTGACCAAAATGTGAGTTCTTGATTTATTAATGATTTTAATTTATTAATGATCTTAATATTTTATATTGTATATTATCTTTTATTTTTTCATTTTTATAGAATCTTACAGATTGGAGTAAATTACTTAATTATTCTAAAACAGGACAAATTGTGACCGTTCAAGAGTTCCAAAATTTTTTAATAACTGAGCAACAAGATCCTTTAGGAAATAATGAAGTTGAAGTATCATGTTTTATTAGAGATTATTTACAAGATCCTCAAAGAGATGTACAAGAACCGCATTTTACATTTTCGGAATTTATTGATTTTTTATTTTCAAAACAAAATTCTGTTTGGGACTCAAAATACTCACGAATTTATCAAGATATGACCAAATCTCTTGCGCATTATTGGATAGCATCATCACATAATACGTAATTATTATTTTTTTTCTTTTTTTCCAAAAAAAATTTAAAATATATAAAATATTTAATTAAAATAACTTTATAGATATTTAATGGGAGATCAAATTAGCAGTGAAAGTAGTTGTCAAGCTTATGTTCGTGCATTAAGAACTGGATGTAGATGTATAGAACTTGATTGTTGGGATGGACCAGATGGAATGCCTTTTATTTTTCATGGGCACACATTGACTACAAAAATTAAATTTTTGGATGTTATAAAAACCATTAAAGAACACGCTTTTGTTACTTCTGAGTAAGTAATGTCTATTAAAATGTTTATCATCTAAAAATTAAAAATATAAATATTTTTTTGTACAGTTATCCTGTCATTTTATCTATTGAGGATAATTGTACTTTACCTCAACAACGTAAAATGGCAATTACAATGCAAGATATATTTGGCGATATGTTATTAGTTCAACCTATAGATAAAAATGAAACTTGTTTGCCATCACCATATGCACTGAGAAGAAAAATTATATTGAAACACAAAAAATTACCTGATGGCGTTGACGAAACATCATTTCTTATTCGAAATGATGAAAGTAGACAAGAAATGGATCTTAGAAACACAGTTAAAAATGGCATTCTATATCTTGAAGATCCTGTTGATAGAGAGTGGAATCCACATTTTTTTGTATTAACGCAACAAAAATTATTTTATACAGATACATTTTCTAGAACCCAAGAAAATGAACATGATGATGATGAAGAAGCTGTAATTCGGCGACCAACTGATGTATGTACATACATCAACCATGTTTTAAATAAAGTTGTAAAATTTTATTATATTGTTAAAGTTTATTATTGATTATAATATAGGGAGTACCAAATGATGAATTACATTTTGGAGAAAAATGGTTTCATGGTAAATTAGCAAGAGGAAGAGAAGAAGCAGAAGAATTATTACGACGTTATTCACATCTTAGCGATGGAACATTTTTAGTTCGACAATGCGTTACATTTGTGGGTGATTATTGTCTTTCTTTTTGGCGCAAAGGCAAAGTAAATCATTGTCGTATTAAACTCAAACAAGAAATGGGACAAACACAATATTATCTTATTGATACAAATTGTTTTGATAGTTTATATAGTTTAATTACATATTACCGCAGTCATCCATTAAGAAGTCAAGTAAGAATAAATAATATTTTAAATAATAATTATTTTTATTGTTTTTATAATGTTATTTTATTGATTTACAAATATTCTAAATAAAACGAAATAGGAATTTTTAATCACACTTCAAGAACCAGTTCCGCAACCAAACAAACATGAAGAGAAAGAATGGTGGCATTCCGAATGTACTCGAACTTTAGCTGAAGAAATGTTAAAACGAATTCCTACAGATGGTGCATTTTTAGTAAGACCAAGTGAAAAAGAAAATAATTCTTATGCTATATCTTTTAGGTAAAATATTTTAAAATATTAATTATTATACTTTGAAGTTATATTGTTTTTTTTTCTTTTTACATCATTTCAGAGCAGAAAATAAAATTAAGCATTGCAGAATTAAATTAGAAGGGCGTCTATATACTATTGGTACTGTACAATTTGAAAGTTTGGTTGAATTAGTTAATTATTATGAAAGGCATCCATTATATAAAAAAATCAAATTAAGTCATCCTGTAAATGAAGATGTTATTAGAAAAATAGAACTGGTATAGTGCATTTTATTTTTTTGATATTAAATAATTTTTTTAACATACAAATTTGTCAAATTTTTTTTATTTCATAGGATATAGATGATGGATCTGTTTATGGTATTCCTGGTTATATGGATCCTACTAGTTTTACTTCGAAAGTAAGATTTAATAAATAACTCATAAATTATATAAAAATATTACGTAAAATAAAGTAATGAATTATGTAAATAATAATAAGATAATGAGCTATATAAAATCTAAAAAACTTAATTTATTTTATAGGTAACTGTTAAAGCTATATATGATTATAAGGCAAGAAGGGATGATGAATTAACATTAGTAAAACATGCCATAATAACAAACGTACATCGACAAAGTGGTGGTTGGTGGCGAGGAGATTATGGTGGTAAAAAGCAACATTGGTTTCCTGCTAGTTATGTAGAAGAAATAAAACCGCAAGATAATCAAGGAGATGTAAATAATTTTATTTTGATTTTAGATAATACTAAATAAAGCATTAAATATAATTATATATTATTTTATTTTTATTTTCAGTCAGCAGATTCTATGATGTTTGGTAGTTTACAAAAAGGTTCATTAGATATTATGGGTGCTGTTGTTGAATTAAGAGTAGGAGGAAGACCTGATTTAAAATGGATATTAAGAATACAAAATCCTAGTATGTGTTCAGTATTTGAAGTAGCAACTTCTTCAGAAGATACAGCATTAGAATGGATGTCCAGTATTAAAGAAACTGCTCAAAATGCCAGTGTCAGAGTAAATATATAAACTTTTATTAAAATATTTTATAAAATATTTTTAAAGAAGTAATAATAATATTTAAATTTAAATAGTCATTAATTATTATAATATATAATATATAATATATAACATTTTCATATTATTATATAAATCATTCTTTTTTTAGGAAAATCAACATAAAGAAATGGAACGTGCATGGAGAATTGCTAAAGAAATGTCTAATCTAATAGTTTACTGCAGATCTGTTGCATTCAATTTAGACAGAATAAAAACAAAAGGTTTTACATTTAATGAAATGAGTAGTTTTCCTGAAACTAAAGCTGAAAAACTTATGTGTCAACAAGAAAACAAATTTTTTATAAAATATCATCAGGTAAATTAAATAAATAATTTAAATAAAATAAATAAAAATTATAATAGATTTAATTTTCAAATTAAAAAAATAAAGATATTTACAATTATAACTTTATAGATTCAATTTAGTAGAGTATATCCTAAAGGACAACGAATTGATTCATCAAATTATAATCCTGTACCAATGTGGAATGCTGGTTGTCAGATGGTAGCATTGAATTATCAAACTGGTGATAAATCAATGCAACTTAATCAAGCCAAATTTAAAGAAAATGGCAATTGTGGTTACATTTTAAAACCTGAATTTATGTTTAGAGATGACTTTAATCCATATGATAAGAATTGTTTATATGGAGTAGAATCGCTTAAGTTTTTTTTAAAAGTTATTGGTGCAAGACATTTAATTCGATCAGGAAGAGGTATAGCTAGTCCTTTTGTTGAAATTGAAATTATAGGAGCAGATTTTGATTCTGGTACAAAATTAACAACAAGAACAATACGTAAGCATGGAAATTTTATATATTAAAACATTTTGATATATGAATAATAATTAAATTAACATTATAGCTGATAATGGATTCAATCCTATGTGGAATGAATCTTGTGAATTTGAAGTTTTTAATCCATATTTCGCATTCATACGATTTGTTGTGCAAGATGAAGATATGTTTGGTGATAGTAATTTTATTGGACAAGCCACTTATCCTGTATGTATTATATAAAATTTTTAATTATTATTTTGAAATTACTATTCAAATATTTTTATTATTTTTAATTTGTAATAAGGTGCGATGTCTACGATCAGGATATAGAAGTGTTCCATTACAAAATAATTATAGTGAAGACCTTGAACTCGCGTCATTATTAATACATCTTCGAATTATATCTTCAGTAAGTATAAAATTCTATTTTTATTATTTTATTCAATTCTGTTATTTTTTCGAGCGTGTTTTTTTTTTATTATAAATTGTAAAATCTATGATCATTATAGGTACATTCTCATAATTTGTAAAATAATACAAAATTACGAGTCTTGAAATATTTGAGGATGCACATTAAAAAATAAGGTAATGATTCAAAGCATGAAATAATTCTTTATTTATAATATTATATATATATAATAATATTTTATATAAATTTTATTGTTTTAGATTATCACTTAATATAAATATTATTAAAAATCACTAAAAATGAAATTTTAATAAAAATTTAAAATCAATTAAAATATTGCTATAGAAGACTGCTTACAAGGATTTAAATTTAAATGAAATCAATTACAAATAAATATATTTTTTTCTTTGTAACATAATTACATAGAGAATTCAGAAATATTATATGAAAAGATAATATAAAAAGATAATATTATTAAGATAATAATTGCCACAGTATTGAAAAACTAGATATTAAACAAAATTAAATATGACAAACTAAAAAATGAAATATTTTTAAAAACGTGACATATTAATGAAATATTTGTATGTAATATGAAAAGATTTTAAAGAAATCTTTTTTGTTAATATATACTGCTATTTAATTTATAATTCATGTATAAGATGTACATGAATTATGAAAAAATTAATGTGATTTAGAATAACTGTCTTTATCTTAACATATATAACACAAATATATCAACAAGTACATCTTTAAATTGTTATAGATATATCTTTTTTTCATTAAGTTTTTATTAAATGTAAAAAAAAATAGATATAATAATCTTAAACTATAATATATTTTAGACTGAAATAATATACACAATACGCTTTTAATTTTTTTCATTAGAGAGATATTTCAATATGAATATTATTTATTTATTATTTCAAAGATACATAATAATGTAGAAAAAATTAATGAGAGGCTGATTATTAAATGAATACAAATATTTGTATTACTTTTCATATCAAATTATGGCTTTTATGAAATAAGATATAAATTTGCATATTGTCAGGTAATGTATCATAAAATTATATAGTTTTTTTCTAACAAGAATTATTATTTTCCATTTTTTTACTTTTTTTTTATATAAACTATCTATATATATGTTCTAAAAAAATTTTTATCGCGTTGTTCCTATTAATTACAATATTAATTTTTATATTTAAAAATAGTATTATTGTAATCTACTTATTCTCTCGAAACAAGACATTTCGAAATTAATAAATTAATAATAAATATGAAAATTTTTAATATAATTTTGTATGGTATTTGTATAATTAAGCACATACTTACTTCTTTATGATTTTGATGATGAATCATAATAAATAATTTTATTTTGATTTTAATGAAAATTTAGTTAATATATGTTAATATATAGTTATATATATTTAGAAAAATTTTTAGCTAATATGTCTTTATTTTATAATTGACGATTCAAATATATATAGAATGTCCCAAAAATAGTGGAACATCCGTAAACTGAAAATTTTTGAGATAATTACAAACATTTTTTTTTTTTTTTACAAAACTTTTTGTTAGAGGTTTTATGAGGTTATTAAGGAGTTATTAACAAAAAACATTAGTTAATCATAAAATGCGTAATTTAGTCGAACTGCGATAAGTAAGTAATATTGGCTCCGTGCCGTACAAACAAATACAAGCAATATATATCGTAAAAAATATATTGAATATGAGATATAATATATAATATATAATATATAAATATGAATATCGAAAAAATTACATCGAATTATATCATGAAAGAAACTATAATATTCAATATATTTTCTTCGACATACGTTCGGACTTGTTCGTGCTCGATCGCCGGCATATAGCCTGTTGCAACTTGACTAAGCTACGTGCTCCGTGGTTAGTCAGTATTTTTTATTAATAATAAAAGCCGTAAAGTTTTTGCAAAGGAAAATGTTGTTTGAAGTTATCTCAGAAATCTCCACAGATATTCCAATATTTTTAGGATATCCTGTATATAATGTAATAACAGTGCTATTGATTAAAATGACATATGTAATAACTGAAATGATAAATTATTCTAATATATACATATGAAAAATATATATTGATAAGTTATATATATTAGATGTAGTTAATGTTACATATAAACAACTTTTAAAAATAAAAAATATAAAGTATCAAATATATTATTATTTATTTATTTATTTATTATACATATTATCTTTTATTAGAAAAATTAAACAAATTTTTTTTAAACGCGATATCAAATAATCTTAGAATCAAACGCAAGTATATTTCAAGTATATATATTAAATGAATTAATGGTGATTTATTCTTATTTATCTAATAGGATATTAATCTAATAAATTTTTTTTTCATTTGCTTTTTTAATATGAATTTTTTAAAAAATTTTTTTTGTAGAATTTTATTTAATCATATAAGTATTAATATTTAATATATTTAATTTATATTTTTATTGCTTAATGTCAAATTAAAACAAATAATTTATTAAGTATATATTTTATTAAATGAAATATGACAAAAATATAATATTAATATACAATATTAATTCTAAATGTAAAATTCTGAATAACTAAAAAAGGAGTATGCTTTATCATGGATTAAATTTATACATAGAAAATTTGAAAACATGAAATTTTAATTTATATATCTTTTTAACTGTAGTAAACAAATTATACACTTTTTTGAAGATATTGGTCAAACAAAAATATAGATAAATGATTACTATTTTCATCTATGAAACGTTTCATATCCCTTATATAACCTGCTAATTCTCGAACACGGTCTGCTTGTGATCCTAAAAATTTCTCTTCAATATAATGAGCAATAGCAGAATCTTGTTTTTTACTTGCTTTTTCATGTATCTTTAATGCTTGGTTTGCAAATGATTTTTGAATCTCAAGTGCTGTGGCTAAACTTGCAAATTCATTCAATTCTAAAGTTTTTATCATCTAAAAAAATATGAAATTAGTAATATTTCTTTCTTATTCTTATATTGTAAATAAATAAAGTATATAAATACAGGAGTAAACTTTGGCTCTTGTCCGAAGTTCATTGAACCACCTCGTTTAGTAATATATTTAATTAAATCAATTCCATTTTCCCACATTTCATCAGAATATTTACGATATAATTTCTTAAATCCTTCACGCTGATTTTCATAATTTCCCAAATAAGTAGACATTAATAAAAATCGAAAACTATATTCAATATTGCCATATGCATAAGATTGAAGAGGTACTAAAAGTTCATGAATATTTCCATATGTTGCATTACAATTTGATTCAATACCTAAATATAAAAAATTTAAATATTCTGTATATTTTTATAAATACAAAAAGATAAAAATTTTTTAAATATAAAATTTATTATTTTCTAAAATATTAAATATTTTTGTATATATGCATTACACACCTATCTCATGTTTTTTTGTAGTACTGCAAAATTTGTTCACCTCATCAATGCAATATTCAGCAGAGGTAGTTGCCAAAAATATGAATAATATTCCAAAGAACAACATGTTTTCTGTGCTATCAAACAATAGATAAAGTAAAACATAATTAATGAATACTTGTAATTATATATTTACATTAATTATTTATGCCAATTAAGTAATATATTTAAGAATTATCTTAAATATTTGACTATTTAACACTATCTAAAATTATCTAAAATTAATATTAGATTTTCTATTTCTATTTTAATATAATTCGTTTGTAAAAAAATAATATTTTTAATAATTTCTATGTATATTATATATAAATAAATGAAATAATAATTATATTGTTAAATTTTAAATATCATACAATTGTTTTTATACTTATAAAAATGTATTAAATTAGCAGTAGAAATAGATAATAAAAAAAAATATATGGAAATTCATTTAAGAGTTAGAAAAATTAATATAAATTAAGACCCATTAGTATAAAAAAAATTACATATTCTTTGCGTCAAAGAAAAATTGATATTGTCTACAGATATCAGATATATTGCACAATATTTTCATTGTATTGAAATACGCAATATTTTATATCAAATAAAAAAATCATATTTAATAAAAAAATATATTCTTTGCAATTGTATTAATCTCATCTTCTATTTATATATATCCAATATATATAATTATAATATAAAAAAAACTGAATTTAAATTATTCATTATTATATACTTACTAAAACGAAGTGCTTTAAGGGAAGTAACGTGAATACTCTCGTTTCGACGTTCTTCCAACAATGAACATTGAACAACACGTTCGTTGGTAGTTTTCACGAAGTCATAGTCAGCTGATAGGTAAAGCGCATGCGTGATAAGAAAGGGAATAGAAAATTCCAGTTACTCCCCGTCGATTAAAGTACGAATGTACATTTGTTGATCAATTATTAAATGATCGATGGTCGTACATTATATTTAGTTCACGCACGTTCTCTTATCTAGCTTCATTAAAGCAGCCTTCTATACCAGTGTGTATAAAGGTTGCTTCCGAAACAGGGAAAATTAAAAGCACTCTCGCGAATTTTAAAATAGCTTTTAATAAATAATTATTAATAATGAAGCTACTTTATGTTCTTCTTATTGTTTTCGTTTACATCAATGGATCATTAGGAAATGACAGTGCAACAAGATCATGTAAGTTCATCATTTATTTTACAATATTTATTTTGAATACATTTATATGAAACATCTATTGAGGTTAGCATGCTATTTTTCGATAGATTTCATCGTTCCTTATCCTTTCCATTTTTAAACAAACTCCTATATTTCTAGAAGAGAAATACAGAAATACATATCAAATACAGAAATAAGTATTTATTAATATTAATATCTTTAAATCGATATCTAATAATATAAAGATGTTATAGATATAATTTATTCGCATTATAATGCAATAACTTAATGCGTATATTCTTTGTAAACAACTTGTTTTTCTCAGAATGAATATATCGTCAATTTGCGATATATTAAACATAAAATTGCAATCTATTTCAAATAACAATATTAGAAATAAAATGACCTTAATAATAAACGTTAATGATCCGAGATTATAGATATTATTTATTTTAAAAATATTTTAATATATAAATATATATTTGATATTTTAGATAGAATTGCATGTAGTTACAAAAGAAAATCATATACATTATATATTTATATTCTTATAAAATATAAATATAATTTTTAGTATAGGCAATTCATGCATATTTTCTATTATTATGAAACTGTGTATGAATATTATCTTCTTTATTTAGCTTTATCACGTTAAACAGCTTACTTTATTAATCATAATATATCAGTCATATAAGACAAAAAATGTTGGAATTTCCCTAAATTGGAGATTTCTGAATAATTTCAAACAACATTTCCGTTGCAAAAAATTTTATTACGTTTTGTTAACGAATTATTAATAAAAAACACTAAATAATCATTGAGCGTATGGTCTAGAGCCATAATAATAGCGTTAGTTCCATGCTGCCGAACCAAAGACTAATAATTCAAGCAATATATGTCGTAGAAAATATATTGAATATGAGATTTAATATAAATATAAATATTCATATAAATATGAAAAAAACTACAATATTCAACACGTCTTCAACATATGTTGCTTAAACTTGTTCATGCTCTATCGACAATACATAATTTATGCTACTGTCACGGCTCGATTAGGCTTTATGCTCCGTGATTGGCCAGTATTTTTTGTTAATAATCATTAAAACCGTAATGAAAGTTTTTATAAAGGAAAATTTTATTTGAAATTATTTCAGGAATCTTCAATTTACGGATATTTTAATATTTTTGGGACATCTTGTATATTATTTTATTATCATTACTTGTATTTTTTAAAAAAAATTTTATACAATTTTATATAATTTTATATAATGATTAAATTTATAATGTTATTTCTATGTTATTTTTTAATTTATTGAATTATTTATTATATGTTGTACATATATATATATATATATTTCTCTGTTTCATATGTTACAATAAATATTTCAAATACTTTAGAATCATCTTATTTATGTAATTTCTATATTTAATGTGAGATATTAAACATTACTCTATTGACCTAATTAAAGATTATCAAATTATCACTTTATATGCATGAATAACAATAAAATTTTAATATAAAATCATTTTTCATGATTTACTATTATTGCTAATTATCAATATTATAATCATATAAATCACTAAAAATAAAATTTTTTGATATTATATAAAATTTATTAATAAAATGATTTAATAAAAAATAAATTTTAATTTCTTATTATAATATGATAATTTATATTACTTTTATACAATATTATTTTATATATATTTTTATATTTTATATTATACTTTATATATTTGTCTATTTGTAATTTTTTTATTTTCAGAAAACTTGTATTAAGATTATATATATATTTGATTTATAATTTTTACATTTCAAAATAACTAATAGAATTTCATAATTCTAGCCTGTTAATTACTAACATTATTGACAATCTTATTTGTATAATGATAACACTTGATAAGGTTTACGTGACAATATAAACGTATTGATTACTGCATATTCTAAAGTCCACACTCAATATGAGTGTACTGTACATATTGTTCGGAGAAGTCAGATAATTTAATCAAAACTACTTTATATCATCAACTTCCTTTTCTATTGTCACAAAATAGATTTTTATTTCTATTTCAGATAGGAATATTTAATTCTTATTTAAACAAATTTTTTTAATTTAATTTCTTGTTTCATTTTTTTATTATTTTTATATTATATAATGCATCAAATAATTATATTAAATTATCAAAGGAAATTAAAGATATTATTGAAAATTAAATAATAAATAAATGATCTTTTATATATGCAAAATATTATATAGATATAATAGAATTATATATAAAACAGAATTCTTATCTTAAATAATTATCTTAAAAAATAAAAAGATTTTATTACATTTGATAAAAAAATTAAAGTAACTAACACTAAATAAATAGTTATAGTTATTTTATCTATCTTTAATTCCAACATTTAATTAATTTAATAATATTGCATTTACATGTTGCAATAGTATTTTAGTAATAATATAACATATTTTCTGAAAATATTTATTACTTTATTTTTTTTGAATCTATTTAATGTATATTATATTATTTAATACTTTAATAAAGAATATATTATTATATTTTTTTATCAGTAATGAATTTTATTTTTATTAACATTAGGTATAGTAAGTAATATAGGAGCTGATGAAAATGCTACAAAACATTGGTTGGATATGGATAAAGATTGTACTAAAAGTTTGGAATCTCAGGTGAATGTTGAAATTAAAGCTGCAATGACTTATCTTGCAATGGTAATTAAATTTTTTTCTTATTTTATAATGTATTTTATAATGGATAAATAATATTGTACTTATTTATTTTTTATTTTTTATTTTAGGGTGCTCATTTTGCTCTTGATGTAATTAATCGACCTGGATTCAGCAAATTCTTTTTTGAATCTGCTGCAGAAGAAAGAGAACATGCAATAAAAGTTCTTGAATATTTATTAATGCGTGGTCAATTAACTAATATTAATGAGGATAATGTTCTTTTAAGATTTCCTTGGTATAACATTTAAAATATTACTATTTCAATATTATATATATATATATATATATTACTATTTCAATTTATGCAATTTATGTATTATATTATTATCATTTTTAATTCAATTATAGAATTAAATATACATATATAAAAAATACTTAATTATTTTTTTTTAGGAAGCAGAAATTGAGAATTGGAACAGTGGCTATAAAGCCTTAAAAAAAGCTCTTAAATTAGAAACAAGTGTTACAAAAAAAATTCGTGAATTAATTAAAATATGTGAACATCCAATTGATTCAAATTTAGTTGATTATCATGTAAGTTATAATATTATACATTTTAAGTTATTTTATTTTAATAAATTATTTAATTACAGTTGGTAGATTATCTCACTGGAGAATTTTTAACTGAACAATATAAAGGAGAACGTGATCTTGCTGGTAAAATTTCATCTTTAGGTAAAATAATACAAACACATGGAATGTTAGGAGAGTTTCTATTTGATAAAAAACTTTTAACAATGAAGTTTAATTTGAAGCAAAAAAAATTTACTTCAATAAGTGAAATTATGACCATATTTAAGATAAAGTATGTAACTTCGTTTGATTTAATTTTAAGTTAGTATATGACAGATACAAATTTTTTTCTGCATAAAATATTTTTCTAAATATGGTCTGTAAAATAGATATATAAAGAACCCTGTTTATAAATGTTTGTTAAACTATAATAAATATATTACTCTTACGAAATAAATAAATATTTTAAGATTCATACAAATATTGTTTCAATTTTTCATTATTATTCTTAAATTAAATAAAAAAAAAATTCTTTTTTAATGTTATCTATTTATAATATTTTCATAATAATAAATTTTAATTTTTATGAAAATTTTGTATATTCATTTTATCCAATTACATATATATATATATATATATATATATATATGATATTTAAATTGATTAAAATATCAAAATATATTTATTTGATATATTTGAGATTAATAAAAAAGATTTATAACTTTCATATAGATTTTATATTAATATTATTGATAATATTATTTGTAAAAAGAAAATGTATTAAAAATGTTTTAATAAATTATTATGAATATAATTATTTATAATATAATTTAAAACATTTTAATATATGTATAATATATAATATTTAATTTTTTTAACCTCTTATAATAGAGAGCGCTGTTAACTATGAATTTTTACTTTTTAATGGAGTTGACTATCTTGTAATCTTTTTCATACATGTGATTTTACATTCAGACCAATCAGAAGAACGAATGCCCAAATTCGTTATTTTGAAATTGAACTGAAAGTACGACGTGTTTGTAGCTTATATTTTAATTTTTAAACGTATGTATTAATTTTTATTATTTTATATATATAATTATTTAAAATATAATTATATTTAAATATTTGAATTTAAATTATTCTTTTATTAATAAATATATTACTTATTTTCATAAAACATTAATGAATTATGAATTCTTTAAATAGAAAATTAGTTTTTTATTTAAGTATTGTTTATAAAATATAGAAATACTTTATAAATTTTTATATAATTTTTTATGTAATAGATTGATTAAATAAATAAATTTTAAATTATCATTTATATTATTTTTAATTATAGGTAATATTTGAGGATGCTTAAGGATCAAAGAAGAACAATTTCACAAATAGAAAATAATTTTAAACAATTAAAGATATCAAAAGTGGCTCCTATATTAA